AATCCACAACACACGTACGGTAGCGAAACTACTTATATAAGTACATAAATATAATAGATAGATAGGTAGATACTGAAACAAAAGCACTGAAATTATATATATTAGTACCAAATCATACCCCAGATATTTTTTTCTATCCCAGTATGATTGTATTCTATTTATTCAGCGAATTCTTCTAATTTTTATTCTTTTTTCAATATATTTGTTTTTCTCCAAATATTTATAGATCTGTGATAAAACATATTGGACAAGAGAACGCACGAAGATTTGTATGAAACTTGCGATAAGACTGAAGTATAGCGCCCTTTGTCCATTTCGTAGATACCTATATAAAATGACGAATATATATAAAAAGATTCAATGGAAATTAATATCTGATTAATGATTTTCAATAAAATAAAAATGTGTACTTTGTCTACATTAATTAAATTAAATGTTGCATCACGTATTTGAAATTGGATATTAATTTATATGAAAGTTTTTTTATTAATTAGGAAATTAATTACAAATAAAGTATTGTGTTTCCGAGATAGGTTCCTTGAGATTCCTAGAAGACATTTATTTCTAATTCTTAGCAGGTCAACCTGTATGTAGTAGTGGTGTAGTATTTTCCAACCCTTATTAATTCGGAATTTATTCATTATTATTACTTTTATAAGTAAGATTTTCTTTCATAAAACAATGTATGTACGAATAAATGTGCCACAGAATATATCCATAAATATCAGACAAGTCATTTGGACAGTGTAGATATATTTATATGTGTATGAAATATTATAATAATAAATATTATATGTAAAGCTGCAAAAGTATTCAATATATTTTTTTCATTCACTTAAAACACCAATTGACATATTTATCAAACCAATCTTTTGATAACACACGATTCCGTAGTAAGGTGATTTTTTGTCAATACAATTACTGATTACCTCGCCCTAAATCAAGGTGAGGCATGGCGTGAGTTTATGTCAAAACAGATCGTAAATTTGCGCCATAAAATAAACATAAAATGGTACCTAGTTGGGAATAAAAATCAACTTTTTAATAGCAATTTACTGCTGCTCCTGATATTGTACATTACTGCCATGAAAGGGGCGTGGAAGTAATCACACTTGACACTGATAGTGTCATGGGTTACGACGTTCTATGAATTTAAAATGTACCTACCATAATAATGTTCTTACAGAAAAAATAGGCAGAAGGAAAATTGAGTGCAGTAAAATTTCATAGCTCATTATTCTTGCTAATATTTACGATAACTCTTTGTAACTAATGCGCTAAACTCCATACTCCTGTACTAATTGTTAAAGTGATGTGGTTAATTGTAATTTCTGGTATAAAATAAAAAGTAATTCTTTGTATATTTGATATTATTATATTATAAAACCTACAAACAAAATATTCAATTATCTTAGAAATTTCAGTACTATAGGTACCTACTTTAAATACCTACTGTAATTTCGGTAGGTAGGTAGGTGTAGGTAGGTATAAAAGTATATCTACCTATAGTAGGTACAGAATTAATATAAAACAATACCAACAAATTCAATATAATTAAGACATGGCTTTATTTATACGGAACTCGGCAAAAGTAATTCACTTTACGATTTCCAATAGGTTAATAAGTTTCTGTAAATTTGTATTACAATTAATTGAATGGTCATTAATTGGTTATAATCAAAATTGGTCTTTCCTTCGGCATTAATTTGTTTTGAAATTCGGTAAGTGGCTGTATATTAATGAATTACTTACTTAACCTTTCCTCGCCTAATTTCTCACATAATTAATTACTTTAATTAGGTAGGTAGGTACCTACTTAAATGGAAAATTTTATTTAAAAACTAACTGCTACTTACATCTTTACTATACTTTACTACTCATGTAGTGTAACTATGGGCCCCATCAACAAGCTCAGAGTCACTCAGAGGGCAATGGAGAGGGCTACGCTCGAAGTTTCTCTGCGTGATCGAATCAGACAATCGACATAGCCCGAAGAATTGCGACTTTGAAGTGGCAATGGGCAGGGCACATAGCTCGTAGGACAGATGGCCGTTGGGGCAGTAAGTCACCACGGACCGGAAGACGCAGCGTGGGAAGGCCTCCAGCAAAGTGGACCGACGATCTGGTCAAGATCGCGGGAAGGCATTGGATGCGAGCAGCGCAGGACCGATCGTCGTGGAGATCTTTGGGGGAGGCCTATGTCCAGCAGTGGACGTCTTCCGGGCTGCGATGATGATGATGATGATGACTACTCATGTAAGTTTATCTAAACTTACGTTGTAGTAAAAAAAACATATACCTAGATAAATACTTGGATTTTTGTAGGTTATCTACATAACTTAGGTAGGTAGAATCGTTCTCTCCAGTATAGCGATGAACATATAAACCACCTTTATTATTATCATAGTATTTTACGGATGGATATACACACCCAAATTTGCCGAATGCCAATCTCAACGTTGTCACGTCCTGGAGAAATAAGACACGCGCTTAATATTTTGGCGCGAAATCCCTCGGCAATATGGCGACCGTACGTCACGCGTATTTTTTTATTGTCGCCTGTCGAGAGTCTATGGAAGTACCTACTTTGCGGTCTAATAAGAATTTTATTTTTAGCTGTAGCCATTTTCTTTTATTCATTGTTTGGAAAACGTAGAAGGTTTCATATGATCTTGCTTAATGTTTAAGAAAACTCGTTATACTCACACGAAAACGGAGGATAATGCTTATAAATCTTCTAATTTAATAACATCGAGGCTTATAAAAGCTAAAATTGCCTATATTACCCATTTGAAATACTTTTGTTTATCCACATCAAAATGCTGAACACAGAAAAACATCTTTTAATTTAAACATGCACAGTTTTATTATTTCCAATTTTAAAATATTGTTTTTTGTTAGATCAAATCATAGAAGACAACAACTAATAAAAAAACAATCTATTTATTAGTGGTGAGGCTTATTTTACATCTAGAATTATAAAACAATACTAAAAACAGATTAAAATCTTCAATTTTGCAATTATATATTACCTTTCACGGTTGTAATTATGCAACCTTATAACTTAGAGTAGATACATCTGCTGATATCTATTTGAACTTAAATATTTATTACATATCAAAACCATAATTAAGAAAATAAAGCCCTGCCTGCCATTAGCACAGACGGGAGCACAAAAAATATATATTCTCGTATGTCTGTGTCACTGAAATAGTTTAGAATTAATTAATAAAATACTAATATTCATTATGCTCTCACAAACAAATTTGGAAAAGTATAGGTATTTAATAAATAAGATAAAAAATAGGAATGTACGTAGATATTCATTTTATGCTTACAGCTAAAACTGTTACAGGAACACATATATCAGAAAATAAAAAGATCGTAAGTTGGCAGCGATAAAGCTTGTGATATACCGCATGTACACATATTTTTAGTCATAATATGTAAAAATATATAGGTAGGCTAAGTAACTCGCAATTTATATTAATTTGTTAAGTACCTAACATGCGCGACTTCTTTAAATTTTCATTAATCATTAGATACAATTACAATTTTTATGTCAGACTATGTACCTATCTGTTTTTTTCTCTCAAATAATTTCATAGTTTAGTCCAAATATATTGTTTATTCTTCATTTAGTCATACTTATGTTAAGTGGGTTGGGTTGGGGCTTTTTTTTTAATTATACTAATTGGTAAACAAGCGGTCGGCTCACGTGATTGTAATGGGTAACCATCGTCTAATACATTGACATCACATTATCATCTGACACACGTGCGTTGTAATTCTAGAAGATGAAAATGTTTTCTTCAGATTCTGTTACGTCATTAATTAATCCCATCATTTTTTTGCCCATGTCTTCATAGAACCTGTTTTAAAGAGCTGATCTGAGTTTCTATTATAGAGGTCATAGGACATTTTAATCTCTCCTACGTCGTCCAGTTCTCAGATGGCGTAAATCCTCAATGATCTCCCGCTCTCGTTCTGCAGCCTATTTTGTTGCCATAACTTCCTTACAGAATTTCAACACTGCTTTCCATTAATCGTCACTGTGTAACCATGGAGTTTGGTACAGCTGGCAGCGACAGGTCCTCTCCCACAACTGCTGTCAGGGCTAGAAGATGATCCACCCAAAAATAACACTCTATTAACGTGCATTGTACTGTGTTCACCTCACAAATTGAGCAATGTGTGTCAGATCCATCTACAGTGTATGCACTGTAGATGGATCTGTTTTTCTATATCTGACCTGCTATTCATTACATTATAACTGTCTGTCTGTCCAGACATTATGACTAAGCCGAATGGTGAGGGGCTTCCGCCAATAATTCGTACACTGCTTAAACACTGCACGGTTTGCCTCAATCACATCACAATCTGCAGTCGGTTCAGTCAGTCTCGATCCTCACTTTTTCTTAATAGACAAAACAACAACCCTACAACCGAAACACAACTTACAGAGCAAGAAGTGTGCAGTATATATTAAGTGCCTACAACCCCTAAGAGAAACAGCCGAGAAGTAACATTTTTTTCCAATATTAATTAGACATTTTAAAATTACACCATTCTTATTCATCTACACGCTTGGTCTCTTATGCAACAGACGAAACTGATGCTCTTATATACACTACATAAGAGTACTAAGTACTTAGTGTGTATAAAAGCCTTGGTTTTTTCAAGATTATTTTCATTTTTATAACTTAAGCTTCATAAATACACACAGGTTCCGAACAATCTTGACTCCATCAGACAGACAAGTTTTATCTGAACATGGGTTTGTCTTTATACATTGAACAATGTATATCTCTAGACTTAGACGGATACAAACACGATGTCTATTATTGTTATAATACAATAGCGACCTCTAGGCATACGTCGTTGTCAGTAAAATTTTGCTAGTGTCAATCAAGCCGTCAAATTAGAGTGACGTTCAACATAGATTAGACATAAGTGTAGTCTCTCCCATTTACATTACATCTGTATTTTTGTGGTTCAATTGTCAAACAGGATTATTATTAAAATTCGCTTTTATTGCTTGTGTAAAGTTTATTTTATATTAATCAAAATGCCTGCTGGAACTTCAACCGCCGCCGATCCTATACGAGAAAAAGCCTTTCAGGACTATAGAAAGAAATTAATGGAGCACAAAGAAGTGGAATCGCGATTGAAAGACAGTGAGTATTCATCCATAGATTTACGAACACTTGATTTTTGCCGAATCATCACATCGAAAAATACATATAATAATAGAATGTTTTAATTTTTCGCTGTACTAAATGTTCTTATACATGACCTCATTAATAATATTTGATAAATATTTTTCTATAAAGTATTTATTAAAGCTACTTAATAAATTTTCAATGTTCTTTATGTTGTATTTCGTATATATATTATACGTACTGAATAAAACTACTAATGTATTAGTGATTTTATTAAATGTTAATAATGTTAAATTAATACTTTCAGTGCGTGAGCAGTTAAAAGATTTAACAAAGCAGTATGACAAGAGTGAAAATGACTTGAAAGCACTGCAAAGTGTGGGTCAAATTGTTGGTGAAGTACTCAAACAGCTTACTGAAGAGAAATGTAAGAAACTCTTATAATGTATTTATATGTAAAAATAACTTTCAAATAATTGTTATTAAACTTATCTACTTTCTTCATTGTAGCAGTGCACAACTGTAATTATTATAGGGATTTATATGCAAGTATCTAGAATTATATCACTATCACTTAAGGTGGAGTGTGTAAAACTACTATTTATTCCATTATTATTGTGAACACCACATTGCAGACTAATATACCTTTCAGTTCATTTCTTAATTTTATGAAAATTAAATAGTGACTTTACTCTCTGTTAATGTTTTAATTTCTATAGATAATTAAATTACAAAGTTTCATTATTCTTGAGGTTATCCATTACAAATACCCCATATTTTCTCATCATAATATTACTTTAAATTATTACTAGTGAGACTATTCAGGAGTGCTAAAATTTAATTCTATTTAAATTTAAAAAAAAATATTGTTAAAATTACATACATTAAATATTGTTAAAACAATAAAAAAAAAATTCATTTATTATTAATATGAAATTATTTTTATTTTATGTAAATTACAGTTATTGTGAAAGCTACAAATGGTCCACGATATGTAGTTGGGTGCCGTCGGCAACTGGATAAGAACAAGCTGAAAGGTGGCACCAGAGTTGCATTAGATATGACCACCCTCACCATCATGCGACATCTTCCCAGAGAGGTGATTTTTTTCCTTTATTTTTGCATGATGTAGATGTAGATTTAGGTTGGACTCCATTTTCCGCAATTGGCCTCTCATTCGGGCCGTTGTGCGTGTAGAGCCAGGCTACTAACGTAGCCAGCCAAGCTCCTCCCAGAAGCGCAGAAGTCTCCTGGTGTCTTCGCAGGCTTCTCGGAGCGACCTCACCGTTCCGAGGATTTGATTTCGTTGTGTGGTCACTGCTTCGCACTCCAGGATTACGTGAGCGGCCGTTTCCTCGGCTACAAAGCAGCCCCGGCATAGGGGACTGTCTGTAGCACCTATTTTGTACATATGTCTGTTTAAGGGACAGTGGCCCGTCATTGTCCCTATCATTGTTTTTATGTTATGCCTGTCCAGATTTATTAGGCGTTTTGTCATTCTTTGATTTGTTCTAGGAATTGCCACTTTTGATTGTTTGCAATCGGTGGTTTGTTTCCATCTTTTGTTTTGTATCTCAGTGGATCTTTGGCGAATCCAGGATCGAAATTGTGAGAATGGTATTGGCAGAAACGGATGCGGGCCTGCTACCGTCATGCTTGATCCTCTTCTTGCCAATTCGTCCGCGGCATCATTTCCGTATGATCCGCTATGCCCTTTTATCCATTGGATGGTTACACCGTTGTGCTCTGCCACTTTGTCCATGATATTGTGACATTCGATTATTAATCTGTTGTTTGATTTCCTGTTCTGTAGTGCTTTTAGCACGGCTGCACTGTCCGATATAAATTTTATGTTGAAATTATTGACACCTAACTTTTGCACTGTTCGTGCTGCCTCAGTCAGGGCAACGCATTCACATTGGAAAATCGAACTATGTGGGCCGAGTGGTATGTATAAGTTCATGTTGAGGTCGTTGCTCCTGCTCCTGAACCGTTTTGTGTTTTGGAGCCATCTGTGTATATGCGTAGTTCATTTACAGCAGATTGATCTTGTTCCTCCTGTTTCATTTGTATCTGGTATTTCCTGTTAAATGAGTGATATGTTTGAGTTCTATCACACGGAGCTGCAATCAAAGGTTCGTGTTCGATTGCTTGGTTCAGGGTGAGTGTGAGAACTATTATGGTTTTTGCCCCATAGACCAAGATGGTATAGTCTTATGGCAGCTATGGCTGCCTCCTGTTGTATGAACAGATCGAGGGGTGTTATATTGAGGGCTATTTCCATTGCTGTTGTTGGGGTAGTTTTCATACATCCCGTGATTGAAGAGCATGCAAGTCTTTGAAAGGACCTTAGTTTGTTGACTGTGGTCGTGAGTTTCGACCTTGTCCACCAAACCAAGGCCCCGTACACTAGCATTGGTCTTATCACTGCTGTGTATAGCCAAAGTGTTATTTTTGGTGTAATACCCCACTTGTTTCCTAGCATCTTTCGACATTGATAAAATGCTATGGTGCTTTTGTTGATTTTGTGGTCAAGATGTTTGTTCCATAGGAGTTTACTGTCCAGTATAACTCCCAGGTACTTGACTTCTTCTTTTAGACTAAGGTCTGTGTTAAAGAGTTTCGGTGTCCTGAAGATACCAGGAGCTCTTTTGTTAGTAAACATGATTAGTTCTGTTTTGGAAGGATTTACAGAGAGTTCGTGGTTTTTACACCATCTCTCTACAAGTCTGAAGGCTTCTCTCATGCGGTCGCATAAAGTTCCCTCAAAGTTTCCTGTTATAAGTATAGCAATATCGTCAGCATACCCTACCGTGTAGAGGTCGTTGTCATTGAGCTCCTCAATGAGTTCGTTAACAACTAGGTTCCAAAGAAGAGGTGATAGGACCCCTCCTTGTGGACATCCTCTGCTCACGATACCTCGTGTGGTAGTGTTTACGGTAAACTGAATTGCACGGTTCTTTAGCATGTTGCTTATCCATTCTATGATAGTTAGAGGTACTCCATGTATGGCGAGAGCCCGGCTTATGCTGGTAAAGTTTGTTTTATCAAAGGCCCCTTCGATGTCTATAAAGGCACCTAGTGTTGGCTGCTTTGAGTGTAACGAGTTACCAATTCGGGTTACTACGCTGTGGAGTGCTGATTCCGTTGATTTGCCTTCGCTGTAGGCATGTTGGTTAGGATGGAGTGGTTTGTTTGTGGACACAAGGTCTCTGATCTCTTTGTCGCATAGTCTCTCCAAAGTTTTTATAAAAAACGATGTGAGACTAATTGGTCGAAAGGATTTGGCCTGTGTGTAATCACCTCTGCCTGGTTTTGGGATGAAGATTATTTTCACTTCGCGCCATTTCGAAGGTATGTATCGGTGTGCTAGACATGCTCGAAATAGCTGAACGAGTTGTTCAGCTATTATGTCTCCGCTCCATCTTAGGAGGGCCGGAAAGACACCATCTAGTCCCGCTGCTTTGAAAGGCAGGAATGTGTTGATTGCCCATATTAGTTTTTCTCTATCTATTATTTTGCTAGCTACCTCCCAGTCCGAGCTGCTGGTTGTCCTGTCTTCCTGTGAATTCCATGTGTGGTTATTGTCCACAAGAAATCCTGGGAAGTGAGTTGACAGTAGTATTTCGCAAGTTTCTGTGTCATTCGTTGTGTAACTGTTGTCCGGTTTCTTTAGACAGCCTATTGTGTGGTTTTTCTCCTTGGAGAGACACGCTTTTACCTTGACTGCTTGGTTGTTGTTTTCTATACTAGTGCAGAATCGCCTCCAACATTCCTGTCGTCGTTGGCGAATTAGTTTTTTATATTTTTTCCTCGAGGTAGTGTATTTGTCCCAGTCACTTTGTGATCTACTATTCATAGCTACGTTGAAAGTTTTTCTCAACTTCCGGCGGTGTTTCTCTAGTTCGAGACACCACCAGTGTTGCCTGCCTCCGATTTTGGGTACGGTGAGAGGGCAAGACTGTTCGTAGCACGTGGTTAGTATGGACGTAATGTTGTTTGCGTGATTGTCTATTTCCGTTTTGTCTAGTTTTATTGAGAGTCCGGATTGTTTGCCTACGTGCGTTTTGACCAATTCAAGGAATTTGAATTTGTCAGTGTTGCGAGGAATCCGTCTCGGCTGTGGTTTAGGTAACTGCATGTCGATTGTAAAGCGGATCCATCTATGATCAGAGCATGATAGTTCGTTGGACACGTGCCAGTCACGAACATGCTCCGAGATGCCTGTCGATGTCAGTGTTATGTCTATGATGGTTTGTGAACGAGCGTTTATGAATGTAGGTTCGGAACCTCTATTGAGGAGTGTGAGGTTGTGGCTAAAGATAAAAAGAGCTTTATTTTTGCATATAATTACACAAAATCTATAAACATTTTACTCTAATGAAAGTAAATTATTTTATATTTTCTGATTTCCCTGTAATCCACTTCGTTCTACAAATTTGGAATGAGAATTGGAGGCAAATATTTAAATTTTCTTAACATATTAAACAATAAACTAAGGTACTAAACATACACAATTATTGCCAGCCAAATTTGTATTTCAATAATTGTTTAGTGAGATTTTGTTCAATATATATGTAAAGTTTTATAATATAGAAGTTATCCAGAATATTCTTTGTTATCTAATTGTACCTTTGCCTATAAAAGACCTATTGACTTTATCTAAAAAATGCTTAAGACAAGTTAAGGTAAAGAATTTGATAGTAATCATTTTTTAATTTATATTTTTCCAAATGATTTTTGTGAGTAATGGGAGTAAATGGGCACCATCAATTTTTATTGGTGATTTTGCCAATGTCATGGTTTGAGAGACACAGTGTAGTTTGTTTGTTGTGGCTTATTTTAGTTTGCTCGGGAAAGTTTGACAGTTTCGTTCAGGTTCGGTATATTATAATTTAGGACAGCACAACACCTGAGGGACAACATACAATTATTAGTAGGGTTTTCACTATTAGGTGGACAATACTAGTTAGTAGACAACAATACAAACATAGACACTTAATATTAAATTGAGGGGAGCCATGGGTATTACAATTTCAGATTATCTTTAATTATAATTTTAGCTAGTATTTTGACTATGGAGGGATGGGACAAAGTTAAAAGGAATGATATATTGATAGGACGGGGAAGGTCATGGGGGAGGATATCATAAAGTTGGACTGATAAATTGCACTTGAAGAAAAGATGTTTCAGAGTTCCTTCATCCAAGCCACATTTGCACAGTGAGTGATCGCGGACTCTGATCTTGCATAGAAATGTAGGAATCAGACATGTCCTAAGCGGAGGCGGCGATTTCCATTTTAGTAGTCGTGACTTTTGCCAGATGTCATTCCAAACCTGGAACAATTGAGGTTTCATATGACTTCGCAAATCATAAGAGTAGTAACGATTGTGGGTGTTGCAACCAATTAATGTCGCTTTCCGAGCCCATTAGTTCACAACTTAGCAGAATCTCGGTATCAATGTTAGTACCACTTCTAGTCCAGAATGCTGGCATTTGTGTAGAATTTCACGAATTTGCATGGAGGCAAGAGGATATACCCTTAAATAGTTCTCTTACTTGCTTTGTGAGTTGTGTTTCGGTTGTAGGCAGTGAAATTACAGAATAAGCAACCCATGAGTGGTTCAAGTAAAACTTAATAATATGATGTAGTCATTTATACATGCTACAGCCACATACCATCAGGTGGCCAGTCAGTATGTTGCAATTCCTATTACCTAAAAAAAATATGTGTACTACACCGATTTCTTGTCTTATGGATTAAACACTTACTTTTTAATATGATCAGGTTGATCCCCTTGTATACAACATGAGCCATGAGGATCCTGGAGATGTTACATATGCTGCCATTGGAGGTCTGCAGGAGCAGATTCGACAACTTCGTGAAGTAATTAATTTTATGTTGTGTTTAACAAAAAGTAGCAAAACAATACCATGTATTTGTCTGATTAACTTTATCTATTAAATATCTGCTTGATTTTTGTTTTGACTACAATACTATGTATAAAGTAATGCTAATTTTTTTTTTTTACTGAATTAATAAATAAGATGTAATGTGTTTATTTCTCTAACAATTATTGTGGCATAGTCCACATCAGAGTATCATCTTTTAAATCTTTAAGTATAAGAATAAATTCATACACCATACAGAATGGAAAACTGTATAGGAAGGGAGGACTCCTTTTGCAATTTTGTATTTCCATATCGTGAAATCGTAAACATTTTCAACTTGTAGAAATACTATATGTATTCAGTTAATTATAACAGATAAAATATGACTGGTGATGGATTGATTGTGTGTTATATGATAGGGTAGGAAGGACTTTTTAGAACTTGAATGTGTATGGAGCACAGTATATATTACGGATCTAGCATATGATAGATAAAAACTTATTTGATTATTACTAATTAATATTAATCATTTATAACTGTAATAGTCATCAATAACACTGGATAATAAAAGTAACCAAATGTTGTGATTAAAGTAGTCGTAGTGACCACTATCTAGCTAGTATTTTACACTGACATAAACCCTTTTCACCAGGTGATAGAATTACCGCTGTTAAATCCAGAACTCTTTGTGCGTGTTGGCATTACACCTCCCAAGGGCTGCCTTCTGTATGGTCCACCCGGTACAGGCAAGACTTTACTAGCCAGAGCTGTCGCTTCACAACTGGATGCTAACTTTTTGAAGGTAATTTAAAAAAGCGCTATAATATGAAGGTTTGAGAAACTCCCTTAGATGTGATGAGTGTGGGTCAGATTCTACACACAATACAAACATTTCAGTCACAAGTATGGTTGTGTTGTATGTAGGCATATTATATCTGGGTGTTTTACTATATATGTATACTATGTACATAACATATATTTACAAATTTGTATGTTTTTGTATCAGTTGTTTAGTACTCATAGTGGAAGGTTTTCTTAGTCTGAGACTACATGGCGCTGTGTAAATTTTCTAACGTTATTATTAATGTTATAATAGGTAAGTCTTGAACTCTGTTATCCTAGATTCTAGATGAAGTATTAGAGGTATAGTTAATTGTGGACATCGTAGCAAATGGCCGAAAGGCAAAAATGATACTAAATCTTTATAATCTCAGTTCCTATAATAGTTTCATTACAATTTAAGTCTCCTTTTCTATGTATTATTGAGTATTAATTGTTTTGCTCCTAGGTTGTATCTTCAGCGATTGTTGACAAGTATATTGGTGAATCTGCTCGCCTCATTCGTGAGATGTTCAACTATGCTCGGGACCACCAGCCCTGCATTATATTTATGGACGAAATTGATGCTATCGGTAATAATCTCTCTTTGTTATCACTATATTATACGACTTAACGTGTGTTATTCCGGAAAAAAATAGGACAACATTTTTTTAACAGATTAGAATGAAACAATGTTATGGGAAACGTGCTACAAACTGTCAGTAAAAATTGCATTTAAAATATCGTTCCTTATTTTAGTACATTGGTTTGGGTTCCGTTATTTGGTCCCTTACACTTAAGGCTAACACACAGACAAAAGGATTTTAATATATATATGACTTTATATAAAATAATTTCACACATCTTACTGATACTTCACCCAAATAACTTAAAGAGAGTGATTATCTTATGGTCCCATTAGATACTATTTTAAATGAATAAATAAGCTCACAAGAAACTAATACAATTTACAGGTGGCAGGCGTTTTTCTGAAGGCACTAGCGCTGACAGAGAGATCCAACGTACATTGATGGAGTTACTCAACCAAATGGATGGATTTGATTCCCTCGGGCAGGTGAAGATAATAATGGCCACCAACCGACCTGACACCCTTGACCCTGCGCTGCTCAGACCTGGCCGTTTGGACAGAAAAATTGAGATTCCATTACCCAATGAACAAGCCAGGTAAGAATTTGATTAAAATTGTATTATCATTCTTTTAAATATATGTATATAATTATATATTACAATAGTTTCTTGTATATTTTAATATTTCTCAGCATATTTTACTAGCTGATGCTACCGTCTTTGCCCGCTTTGACTATTTATGAGTTTTATGTCCCTTACTTGAAAAATTTCTCCATTGAAACTCTCATCCCCTATTTCACTTCTAGATTCTTTTTTAAGAAACTGTAACCAGCAATCTATATTCAAATTAAATTTGATTAAAATGTTAGCTATTTGGTTGTAAATAGGATAGAAACAAAGCAGACAGACATTTTAAATTATTTTATGTTATGACTGTATTCTATTACCTATTGCCTATTTAAGAAGAATGATATAGGATTTATATTTTAATTGACCTGAAAATAAGCAACATTCACACTTATATACCGCTATATTATTCAGGTTAGAAATTCTGAAGATTCATGCAGCCCCCATAGCAAAACATGGTGAGATGGACTATGAGGCAGTGGTCAAATTGTCTGACACATTCAACGGAGCTGATCTTAGAAATGTGTGTACTGAAGCTGGCTTGTTTGCTATCCGAGCTGAGAGAGAATACATAATACAGGTATATTTTCACTTCTAACAATAAGCATCTGTGAATAGATTTTTCATACTCACCTTTTGATTTCTCTTATTTATTTTAAAATAATTTTGATTGATTGGTTGACATAGCCTTTCCTAAATTTCTTTAATGCAATTTTTTTATTATATATTTGTAGCGTTTTCCTCCGTATTCCAATTGTTACCTACAAAATATTTGCTTATTTATAGGTAACAACTGTATTCAACTTACCTCGTGTCTATTCCACCATAACAACTATATCTTTGCACACTTTATTTACAATTAAATTTACTATATTTCGAAGTGCGCCACCAAGAATAACTAATCCTGAACATCATTTTTAAAAACGTATTTTATCTTTTCAGGAAGATTTGATGAAAGCTGTACGAAAAGTAGCTGACAATAAGAAATTGGAGAGTAAATTAGATTATAAACCCGTTTAATTTTTTGTACGAAATAAGAAATATAAATTTTATGAGATCAACCATTCATGTGATTTATTAACATCATAAGAATGGTGTTAATAAAAAAATATAACAAATTTGTATGCAGTGAGTGAAAGAATAGTCTTGTATTAAGAACTATTAATAATAAAAATATGTATTACAATGTATATTTTTTATTTTTTTTAACAAACAATAAATAGTAATTTATACACAATCTTATACTAATAATTTCGTCAATAGTCTTACATTAGTAATCCCAGGAACTAGAAAAACAAGGCATGGTTATTTTCTTCATATCTCTCTCTGTTAAATTGCACTACAGTTACAGTATGGTAGACAACAATGGTGAAATATATATAAACGTTAGGATCTTTATATATAAAAGAGAAATCAGCCTCTAAATGGGTAAAGATAACCTTCAGAGTGATACAACACACATTTTCAACTAGAACTTTCTACTCTCTTCCTAAAATAACTCCAAAAATTGCTATTCAATAAATGCAGGCAAAGTCCCATTAAGTCGTGCTTTATCCACATTCTCATAATAACACGAGAAATCGACATATCCCTTTATCCTTTTGTCCTTATCATAAGGTCGATCGTTAACGCAAACATCAGACGACGACTCGCACGATCGATTAGTATCAACAATCGATTCGTTTTCCACATCGTTGCTAGACGAATATTCATCTCGCAACGATGTCTCGGAATCAATTTCGTTTATTAGAGTATTAGATTTTGATTGCACAATCGGATTGAAACGTACGGCGTTTTTAGGTGGATTCAATTCTTCGTATGTTGGTAGGAAGTTAAAATTTCTTATTAGTAATGACATATGGGTGTTAGCTTTTGGTGTTAGGTTATTTTTGACACAGTATGACACAAATTCCTCTTCGATCTCTTCTAGAACTGATTGGCTAATTTTCTTGAAGTCTGTTTGCTTACGGCAGTGTTCTACAATGATTTGGGACAGTTGTTTGTTTGTTTGCTCGAAGCTGCCGCGGGATTCTTGTATGCGTTTGTATACTCCCGCACTAACTAGTACTAGAAATCTGCAACAAATTTCATACTCTAGAAGAATAATGAAAACGTATGAAATCTGCATAGTAACTTTTAAGTATGGAATGAATGATTTCGAGAGTTCCAAATCATACTTAAGGTAGGAAGAAAGTATATATGTATATAAATTATTGGTATGTATAAGGCATATTATTTCTATTGATAAATTTTCATGATTCATTATAATGCAGTGACAATTTTGTTATAGTTTGCCTAGATATCTTATATTCACATCATTGTTAGTTACTGATTTCATTGTACTAAACTGTAAAATAGTAAAGAAAATAATTTCAATATATAGAAAAGGTAAATAATAATAATCAATAAAAATGTTTGAAAACGATGACATGATATGTATTAAATATGGTATTACCTGCAAGACTCATCTAGAACAATAGGGCCGTGTATCTCTGGCGCGGCAACCACTGGTTCCGTAGCGGCGGCCCTCAAACTTGGGATGGCTTTGTACAAACTTTTCACCAGGTAATTTCCCAGGCAACGAGTGCCGGTCTGGTTGCCCATGTATTGTGCTGAAATGAATATAATATATATGCAAAGGTAAGCAGCATATAATCACAACCAATGCCTAATCCATATAGGTTGATATATCTTCCTCTCTTTATTTCTGAGTGACACTCATGCTCTTTCAGAGCCTTTAGGTCCCCATGTACAGTCAAGATCAAAAAGGGGCTAAATTAAAAAAAGTATATCAGTACTATCCAATATTTATTTGTAGAAATAACTAAATGTAATCACAAGTAAAACATAAACATCACAAATGGTGATAGAATTCTAACGCGACCCTGCGACCCGGCAGTAGGAGTAGCCAGTAGGTGTCTGTCCTGCTCATTCTAATCATCACGTTTAATCAAACAAGTCTCCATGGTGGATTTTCTTCCCATTAAAAATCTCATCTTACAAAATTCCATTTTAAAATTTGACGAATTATTTGTGACCTTTAGGACATTTAGGTGTTTTTATTATATTTTTACAGATAATAATCTAATGCCTTCAACTCACCGTTCCTCAGCTTATTGACATCCAATCCTAAATGAGAGAGCCTTAACAATTCATCTTCATTGTTTAAACTGTGATCCACTGTTAACTGTACCACCCTCAAGACTGAGTTATCATCAGTCCTACATAGAAGAGCTCTGGTTTCGCCGACATTTGCGACAAATAGTTTATTATTATGGACAAGTGCTATCACCACAGTGGCACCTCCTGACAGGTGCTTGTCAATCTCCTTAAGTCGGGTTAAAATAGAGTTTTGAAGCATCTGGAATAAAAGTTACTATTTAGTACAAATTATAGGCAAAGCAACTTACACCTCTACTTCATCTGCTTTTTGAAATAGAAAATATATTAATATGCATGTTTTTTATGCATTTACCACTGACATGATAAAAATGACAATTTGTGAAGATCTGTAGAGGTATATCAAAGGTCATCAGGTCATAAGTTTATTTACTTTTTTTGAGGAACATTATTTCAACTTTTAATACTTGTTACAAATAAGTTTTGTATACATATTATTACGTTAATACTAACTTGAGCCTCACTTAATGTCTGAAGATGGTACTGTAAACTGGTCCTCTCCGCTATCATCTCGTCGTAGTTTTCATTATATGCCTTCTCTACAGAAACAAATGCATTCCTGAAAAGATGTTTTGAAAGGTTATAGGTACAATAATTAATTTGACTAAACCTGTATTAAAGTGAATTAAATATAATAATATAAGTAACATACCAATATAAATGTCACTGTTCTTTGCCCAAAGACTTTATGCTTCAGATAAAAGTAATATAATAACATGGACAATACTGACACACATAGATAAATGAAAATTAAATAATGCACTCAAATTATAATTCATATATATATAATATAATCAACTCAAATATTAGTGTATAATGATAGCAACCAAATATTCTTTAAATATCAGTTTATTTATGTTTTACTTTTGCCACTAGCAAGTTAATTTTAACTGTATGTTGCATTAAAGAATTATATAATTAAAATAACATATCATATACCTAATCATGTAGTGTATTGACTCAACAAAATATTTGATTGCGAAATAGAATTTATAGTGTAACTTAATCTAAAGTCAGTTATTCAAATTTTTTTCTGTTTTTACAGATATTGTTTTTATTTTTTTACAAGAGTGACAAATATACAGTTTACTTTTAAACAGTTATCACCAAACTGCTTAACAGTGATGGTGAGTCAGTATTATATGTGTGATATAACTCATACCACTAAAATATAATGCCCTATATAATTATGCTTTAAATATAGACTGTTTGCACTTCTTAAAATTTCAATATAATATTATTAAGCTAGACTATGCCAATTTATAAATTTAGAGTGAAACTATGAAATTACCTCAACCGATCTCGTATTTCTTCGTCTGTGTTATTTGCAGATGGTGGGGGCAATAACATTTCAACTGCCATGCGCTGCATGATAAACTTAGCCGCATCCAATCCATTGTGGGGTTCAAACACACCATACAAGCAACTGAAAGAAAATATAATGTACATGGAAAATTTGAGCTTTCATAAAAATCTGTACCATTTATTCATACACAATAACAATAAGCACATTTTGTGTTTTATAAAATGTTGTCAACACTGTTTTGGCATAGGCCTCCTCCTGCTCTCTCCATTGAACTATGTCTTCCACAACCCTATTCCCAATTATATTCAGTGTATGAATATTATAAACATCAAGGACTGTCTATTTGTTTCTTCTAAATAATCTTAGATGCTATTCATCTAATTAATTTTAATTACTTGTACACTTAACTATTTAGAGGCAACTTACTTTTATTTCAAAAAAGCAAGCGAAGTGTATGTATGCATATAAATTGAAACAAAATTAGAAATAATACCTAGGTCACTCTTGGGATTGTTTGTTACGTGTATTGTATTAGAATTTTTTAAATCTAATAAATATGTAGCAGTGCAACGACAGGTTTCAAATTCACATCCGGCTGCTGAAGACAGGCCTTTAATATAATGAAAAACACAGATCTATTGCATTCTAACAAGGAACGTTTAATGTAACAGAAACAAATACTCACGAGTTTTCTTCTGTCTGGCAGTAAAAACACAAATAATCATCAGTTGTATTCACATTACCACCTAATCTAGAAAAACATGACGCAACACATGTATTCCTGCATTTTGGAAGATCATCTGTCCATAATCTAGCAATCATCTTATTATACTTTTTATTGCGATATAAAATAAGTGCCAAATATAAAAACTACAAGAAAAGAGTTACGAAATGTAAAATAAATATTTAGAATTCTACTTTGACATATACAGTGACACTAACAATATTTGACTGATAGCTTGGGTTGCCAATCTTAAAACGTTTAACTTAAAAAAAAAACCGTATGTAGGCTCAATTTCGCACGCTAATACATGTACGTACATTTTTTACTCATCATATATTTTCACTGATTTCTGTAAATTGAAGTCTTATACAAAGTTGTACGAAGATGAAAACGTTTTTGTATTGAAAATCAAAAAATCTCGTGTAAAATGAACCTCATATGGTTGGCATCCCTTGTCATTAGTAATTTCTTATTATCATCGTCTAAGTAATATTATTATAACGTGCGGTTGACTACGCCATCATAATTCCTACTGGATAAAGCATTCGAAATGATTTAGAAAAATTTTATGATTACAAGTATACTGTACTTCTGCTTTAATTTTTATTGTTTTGTTTTAAAATTAAGCAGCACCACATTGTCTTTCTCCGCTATCAAAGGTTGTCTGAAAGCTTTAAGCGTTTTTTACCTACATGCTCTCAATATTTTGATTTCTTACGTATTTTTTTCAGGTGCAATAAAGAGTAATAAATATATTCTATAACACATTATTGAATGTAATCATAAATTATCATGAATGTCTGTAATAGACCTACATAAATAAGGATTTGATTTTGATCAGGTAGAGTAGAGAATCTTTCTCTAATTTTTATATTTAGGTTCTGCGCATAAAAACTTAATATTAAATATATAAAATTGTCTGTATGTTGAAATAAAAATTATCTTAGCAGACATATCTCTAATACAAATGATTACAATTTTATATCTACTGATTATCTAGAATATATAATATATTGATTAGAAAATAATTATCCAATAAGAAAATGTTCATGACAAAAAAATACTTAATATGAATAATTTTTTACATGTAGTCAAATCATGTTAATAGAAAGTAATTTTGTAACAATAAGGATATAGGCATGATTAGAAACAATTTTATAATGTAATAGAATAAGGCTGTGCAAGTAAATAAAAAACAAAATCATAGACCAAAGTTTTAATGTCATGTCATCACATCACACAAACTTTAATTGTTTATAAGTTTTTCAATTTTTATGTTTTTATTATATTGTTAGCTCTGGTAACCTAAAGAGCTATTGACTATATTTTAAAGATTTTTAAAACCTATATTTTCAACTTCTTTAAAATGAGAAAGCAAACTTGGACGTCAGCCAATAACTTTAGAAAATACCATTATTTAAAAATATTGTGGTGCTTAATCTAAACACCTTATTTACTATACATTAATTATCTTTCCTGTGCAATCATAAAAATAATGTTTTATGTTATAGACTTCAGTGTACAAATGACTTATGCCATCATCTCAACAAATGGTTTTTTTACACTTAATTATGTTTCTATATTGAAAAAATCAATATTCGATTATGCAGTATGTTACAGTATAAACTAAGAAATGTATTAGTGCATGGCAAAGGAGACAGAAGCATTACATATTTTATCAGATGGCAGAGTAAGGATTTCCAAAGTCATTAGTTATAAAACAAATATGAAAGAAAACTTAAATGTCTACAGGACTACATCACAGAACACACATTTTACTCTATAATAAATGCGAACCATGATAAATTCGAATACATTTATTTAGGAACACAAAACATTAATTATTAACAAAAAATAAAAATTGTTTTGAGACACACCCCAATGGCTTTGGAAACCCTAGCTTTCTGTATCACTTCATATTGTGAGCAAAATTAAAAACTAGACCATTCGATAAAAAAAGTCAATTAGTCAGTTTTCTTGTCAGCTGCTTTGGTTTCTGGCTCCTTTTTTTCTTTTTCTTTCTCTTCAATTATTATTTCTTTCGCCTCTTGTTTGGAGGCTTCATCGAAATTACCAACTAGGTTAGGTACCTCGTCGTCTTCATCTATTGGCTTTGGTGCAGCCACACTTGACGCCAGCCTCTTCAACTGATTTAATCCTTCGGGTCCTAGTTGGCTAAGAATGCCAGGGAGCATTTCTGCGATCTGCTTGTTTTCCCCATGGCCCGTAATTGCGAAAGTATTAGCCGCGAGCGATGCCTGCGCTTTGGGGTTGTTGAAATGTATTACAGTGCCGTCATCTTTTATCATATTAACCTCTTCAATACCAGGTATAGTGTTTACTGATAACTTTTTGAGAGAAGACTGCAGTTTCTTGTCGTCTGTGGCAGCGGTCGCATGAACAACCTTCTTCTTGCGCCTCGGTGTACCCTTACCTCCAATGCGCACTTGTGATTGTAATTTCTTCAGCTTTTCGGTGTTCATTTTGATATTTTAATACGCGGCACCTGTCGACAGGAATGCGACACACTTTTTAGTTACGTCTGTTTGTAAATTTCAATTCCTAGCACGCAAGTTTTCCATGTAATTAGATACGCACGTGTTTTGAACACCGGTAAAGTCACAAAGGGAAAATGGTGGATAAAAGACAAGTTATTTCTGATTTTTATTTTTTATAGGTTGGCATTACTGGGAGAAGTGTTTCCGTTCGTATTGTTTCTTATGGTGAAAATTACATTTATGAAAAGTACATATGTTTTATGTATGATTTATCTATTGTAAGAATATTAATTGAAGAAAGAACGCAGAAATTAAATGTACATTGATAATAAGTAAAAAGTATCTAAAATATAAGTTTTATGTCTTTTTGGATGAAATGTAAAAGCCAAATGTTACCAACAACAAAAATACTGCTCCTTTTTATTAAAAAAATAATGTAACAAAATTTTTGTTTATTATTAATAATAAAACAGTAAAACTACAAATAATTTATTTACGAATGACATGTAATATAAAATGATTCAATACAAAAATTACAATACTTTGGTTTGCAGTGACACCTATCGTATTTTGAAGGAACTACATGATACTTTGAAAAAGCCAGTGTACTGTCGGGAACTATAGATGGCGTGAGTATTGTTAATTTAAGATCGGAACGGGATTAAAAAATATAATTGATAATAAATTCTGTTAAATACTTGTAAATAAGTTGGTACATGGCATATCTACTATCTTTAAAATCAAATATGAATTGCATTGCAATAAATTGCAGAGTATACTGTGGGAAAATATAGATGGCGTTTGAATTGTTAATTTAAAACAGAAACAGGGCAACTAAGGAATAAGTACCTACCTATAATTAATTGATAATGAATTCAGTAATACGCACTAATTAATACGGTGTTACCTAGCATATCTAATTATTTATTTAAATTCAAATATGAATTGCATTGTGTAGATATTTCGGTTATTTTTTAGGTACTTAGGTACTCACTGGTCCATAAAGTGTGGTCGGTGATTACTTATTAAGTAATTTTATCGCTAAAAATAAATAAATGTTGCTAAAATGTTGTAGTAAGCATAAGTTTCCGTGTAGTAGGCATCTAATCTACTGAGCCTTTTTTATTTGATAATTAGCAGCAATGACTTACCTAAGTGGCAATCTCCAGGAGGAGAATCACGATGTTCTTACCTTGTGTCAACCCCAATTTGGATGTTAGAAATGAGGGACTACTTAGGTACATTCTTTAATATTTTGGTATGACAAACAAGCTGACGGCCTGCCTTATATATCTACAATAATTACATCTTGTTAAATCCGTACACACACAATATGCGTTGTCATTCCAGAGGGCTAAGATGTCATGCCCCTTATCTTGTAATTTCAATGCTTCTTCTCACCGTACAACCAAATCACAGCTTAAAAAGCCAGTTACTTGGCTGCTGAATAGGTGAGATTTTCACAAAATCTGCATAGGGTAGGTAATAATGGAAATAGTCATAAACTGTCCCGAGTAGCCTGATAGATAGGAGAATGGATTGTTAGTATCTAATGAAGATTAGCGATCTTATTACTAGCAACTGAGTGGAGGTAGGCCTCCACTCCACTCTAATCAGGGACGGATCGTGAATTTGTGAGGCCCTGAGCTAAATTTACTTAGGGGCCCTACCTAATTAGATATATTACACAGCTAAAAAAATACACCGACCAAAAACAAGTGACGGAAATTCTCCGTTCCTTTCGATAGAAGCAGACTTGCATGGGTTGATTGATCTCAGGGTTGCCAATCTTATAATGTTTTTTTAACACATATATCGTTTCAGTGGAGACTGGGGGCCCTTTGCATCCTAGGGGTCCTGGGCTGCAGCCCAAAAAGCCCTTAGGTAGACCCGCCCCTGACTTCAATAGTCCCCACTAGAAGTAATCTTCAACCCCAGTATGTAGGTATAAGCTATGTGTGATTATTTTTAATTAATATTTCATAATAAGTAAGTAGGTATAGTGTAAGATTACGCAGGCAAGAGTATGTAAGTATATAATAACTTTAGCACTTATTTCTAATTGTTACATAAACATCAAAGGGACAGCTTCAGATTACACAAATCTGTCTATCTACATACTGTACGCGATAGGCGAATGGTCGATTTCCGAATCTGCAATCGGTAGGAATCTAGAACTGCAGGTATCGCACTTTGAGGAGACAAAACATTTTCTTGTAGGTATAAGAGTCTTTAGCTATTTCTTTCGCGTCAATTTGAACTTAAACAGTCTTAAATAAAATAATAAGAGTTTCTTAATATCAAGTGTTCCACACAAGAATCATAATAGACGATCGAGTTAGATTTTAGCCCATTGTCATAAAATAAAAGACTGACTGAAAATATATTTTATTGTTGTGGTTCCTTACATGAACATTAAATGATTAAAACTTTTTATGACTTTGAATAATTTGTTTTGGGAGCAAATATAAAATTTAATATTTACTTAAACCTATGCTAAAATTAAGACATAGTTATATTCATGTTAAAATCAGACTATTTCGGGATACGAGATACTTCTTGAAATCTATGCAGTAGGTACTCTGCAATGTAGGTAATAGGCCCATTATAGGTATGTCTAAGAATAATGTAGATACATAAATATACCTAAGTAAATGTCCCTGGTGAATTCACACAGCGCCATTTAGTTCCAAGCTAAGTAGGTAGATCTTATTACTAGACACCTAATAGACATACTTAGATATTTAAATTGTTTAAAATACCACCATAGATATATTATACATAGAAAACACTCAGATCAATAAAAATAATTCTACTCGTGAATATATATATCTAAATACTGTAAGAGCAATAGAATCATCGGAAGTACCTAAAGCGCTAATATTAATAAGTACTTCCTTAGTTGGTGGGTAAAATTTACATTTTGGGCTATAAAATTTTTATAGATTATAAGAATTTCTATCTACAAATAGAGCAAATACACTGGAGTTGAAAAACATCACGGTTTATATATTAAATCATCTAGATGCCATCGCTCTTTAGTTAAGTGATGAAAGTACCACATTTCCACAGCCCATTCAAATAATCGATACGAAAATATACTCTTCATCTACTCATAAAACCGTGTTATCCCAATCATAAATATTTATCTGCATTTACTAAACGCAGCACAAAATGGCTGCACGTAAAGCTGTCATCGCCTCCTCTTTCGCGCCACTCATAGACATGACAGCTATTAATATCTTTAACGCGCTCGATGAATGTAACTCTACGGTGCTATTCGCTAAAACGTTCGGAAATGGGGCCGTAGTTTGCGCGCACTTATCCTCAGGTGCTGATAGATGTACAGTCCTAAGGAAAAGTTTTTGAAAAATGCTACATTTGTCACCAATTCCAAAATTAGTGTAAAGATTACGTAGATATCTCAAAATATCGCATATTTTTTTAAAAAAATCCTTCTCTCTGAAGTTTTTATATCGTCACCAAATTTTATTGAAATATTGTAAAAAAATCCTTACGTTCATGTCTATAAGTTATATTCATTATAGTACATAAGTATTTATACAGTCTAAAACTAAAAAGCATCTCAGTACTGAAGATTTCGACTTGGGTAAAATATAAAACAAAATAATGAAAAATACCTGTTACTGCTATTGAATTTTGGTGTTGAAAGGAATCCTTGACAAACTTTGGATTCACCTCTATAATGTCTATAACATCAGTAGTACTTATTCAGTGCAATATTTTAAAAGGTTACTTACTAAATTTATGATTAGGTATATGACATGACTTATTTTAGGATTTTGGAACGAACAGATAGAGTGCATATAAACATTTTTATAACCTCTCTAAAACGTTGGATCCTGTGAAACATACCTACGTGTAAATGTCTACCATGAAAATGTTATACCATTCTAGAATTAAATATTAAAAACAAGACCAAAAATAAATAGTTATTGATAGGTATATCTATTATGTTTCATTAACATTGAATAATTTTTATTGTTTCCTATTTCATACAATTTTCTACTCAACTGTCTGACACTGACTAATAAACTAATGCACTTAAATTTGGGATCAGTTACCCGTTTATTGCTTTTTTATCATGTTTTAGAGTTACACACATAACCTCACTTAGAGCAACTGAGTAATGATTTGATGAACTGCTATAAATGTATGTGGAGAGTAAATAACTTTACACAAAGTGAAATACGTAAATCACACCATCTGATGTTTTGTTTACAGCAAATATATTTCTGGAGTCTTAAAAAGGTATTTATATTAAAGAGTCATAATGTAAATAGTCCAATATTGTTTCTAAGAATATAAACACTTCTATTTATCTAAATCAAATATCGACGTGCGGCGTTCGATTTTTAATATTAGAGGTTGGTGTCGAAAAAATATCCACGATTTTACAGAGATCGGCAAGTTCAGTATCAAACGTAAGAAAAAGTAGAGTTCAATTCTGGATAGGTACTATATTCAACTATTTTTAGAAATCTGCAGATAATTGGGTTTGGTATTCAGTACGAGTATCTAGGTTCAATAAGTATGTCGACCCAATCTAGCTCTTATTAAATGTGAACTGCGCGACCAATAAAGGATAGGTACATGTACGTAGAGGCTCGATTGATTAGCTATACCTACTGATCATTTAAGCCAGTCGATAACTCTTGATATTATGCTATAGGTACAGAATAACTATTAAGTACGATAGTTATTCTATGATATAGGTAAGTTAACAAATTTAACTATTGTTTAAAAATATATTTGAAATTCAATAGTACGTATCTATAGATAATATATAAGTGCAAATTGAAGTTTTACTTACTTGGTTGACATTATAATCACTTTTGTTTTTCTTTGAAAGTAATTGAAATTAAATTAAAAAATAAATATCTGCTTATCTTAAATTAGAACAAAACCTGTGTTCCAACAATCGTCGTGACGATTCGATTTTTAAACTTTTTTCAACGTTTCCCGCGCAACATCAATCGTTCGCTCGTTTCGTTTCAGTCGTTTTCCGTCATTTGAGCAATTACGAGGCGATGTTATCATGCTGTCACGTGTTCATTAGAAAAAACATTCCGAAACACACCCGAAATAGTTTCCCTAATTCAGTGACTTTTTATATTAATAATGAGTGACGATTTGAGTATGTTGCCGAGATTTGATTTCCTATTTTGGTATTATTT